TGTTGGTTAAAAAAAATAAACAAATTTACTATATTCCTCGAATAAGATATTGGTTCAACAAATTAAAAAATAAGTTATTTGATGACTCTCGTTGATTTAGTTTGTCATTCTATCAGATTGTCCATGTTTTAGAGCATCCCAAAGAAAACATCAGCAGCAGCACCAAAATCCCATTATCAATTACACTACTACTACTACCTAATACTAGCAATACTACTACAAGCAGTACCACTACTATGATAAAAGTTATGACTATCATCATCAATATCATTATTTTGTAATATATTGACACTATTATCTGGGGCCCCGAGTGGCCAAGTGGTCTAAAGCGCTGTCCGTTACGGATCACTGCCATCTCACCTCTGCGTGGGTTCAAGTCTAGGATTCGGCGAATGTGGATATGTGAGAAAGCCTGCCAGTAGCTTCTCGTGGGTTGGTGGTTCTTTCCGGTTATTTCCCGGTTTCTTCCTCCACCATTAATACTGGCCGCCATGTATAGCCTATCGTGTGCTGAAAATTGGCGTAAAGCTCAACTACAATAAGGACACTAGTTATCATCCTTACATACAGATAAGTGGTTGGCTGTAAATTTAGATTACAAACTATACAGAGAGAAAAAAGGAAAGACGATATATATATATATATATATATATATATATATATATATATATATATATATATATATATATATATATATAGTTGTATAATAATAAAAGGTGCAAATTGTGAAGAAATAACGAATGAATGAAATTATAATAATTAAATAATAGATTTACTGACTTGACCGGGGAAGAAGTAATGTGGAAAGATATGCCAAACAACTATATAAGATGAAACATTAAATTCCAAAGTGAATTTCCTGGAGGTAAAGCTATTCCGGAGAAAATTTCTCTTCACCATAAGCACATATGGACCTAATGCCATTGAATGTGTGTAAATGTAGAGCAAATCATCCTGATAGGAATAACGCCTAATCAATAGCCGGATAATACTAGATACAAACCAGAGATGCGACCTCGTCAACCTTGTCTAATGTTACTCTATCCTGGAGAATTGATCGGAGAGAATTAAGAACATAAATGTGAGTAATCTTCAACTGTTGTTAGTATCAACAGCGGCCCATTGTGTTGTCAGTACCAACAGCGGCCCATTGTATTTTCAGTTGTAATGAAAATCCTTTTTGCCGAACGCACAACAAAATTAGGTTTGCGATGTGTAATAACATTTCATGAGAATATTTTATGAAAATCCAATAATAATAATAATAATAATAATAATAATAATAATAATAATAATAATAATAATAATAATAATAATAATAATAATAATAAGAAGAAGAAGAAGAAGAAGAAGAAGAAGAAGAAGAAGAAGAAGAAGAAGAAGAAGAAGAATCACTTCTCTTGTTAATTTTCCTTAAATAATTTGTATTCATAAAGCATGCTCATTGCGTAAGTTTTAAACTGAATGATAGCCATATTTTATCTTCATGTTTCTCCCTCATTATTTACAATGGTTTCCATAATGCATGCTTTTATTATGTGCAAGGGACGATTCCAGTGCAGAAACACATTTTTCCGCCTGGATTCGAGATTAAATTTCGGTCCGTAATGTGATTGAACTACTGACGATTTGTACTGGCTCTTTTTATATGTATTTACCTTAATTTGCACGGTGAGGGGTTCTTAGAAAGTTATACGTTAATGGTTTACATTGTTCATCAAAGTTATATCTGGGTCTAATTGTTAACACTTTACACCCCCCCAACCCATATATATATATATATATATATATATATATATATATATATATATATATATATATATATATATATATATATATATATATATATATATATATATATATACAGACACTCAATCCTAATTTATGTACTATTTGCATTTACTTCACTGTTTAGATTAGCTAGTTGTTGGTGATTATATGTTGATTACGGGGAGTCGGTGTTTGGAAAGTGTTGTCGTCTCAACCCTAATAATTATTAAATTTCCTAATGTAGAACATTCACGAGACTTTCGATGGCATGGATTAGTTTAGTGAAATGGACCCTCTCTGATTTTCGTGCACAGGGAATTATCCAGATATTTCACATACGTGATTTCAAATGCGATAGGAATCATTCTTTGTATTGGGTGTTAGGGTCATGTTTGTGTTGTATAGTATGAAGTGTTTTATTTGGATAAGAAATGTTTACTGGTGAATTATTGGAGTTTCCTGATGTATAGATAATTGTATGTTTTGTTTGCGCGTTTAAAAATATTTCAGTGAACACGAATAATATATTGAGGTCCTTGTAAATGGGGGAAACATGGACTGTTAAAACCAATCTAACACGGAGGGCTTTGAACGCTTTGTAGCGAGACCACTTGCATGTAACAAAAAAAATTCGGGCTGCTGCTTAATATTTCTTTGTTCAGTTATGTATTAATTTTTATTTTAAAAACATTTGGTTAGGTTATTTGTCATTTTCATTTGGAATTGAAAACGCGTCCTCAGAATATTTAAGCTTCCGTGGAAGTTCACTTCGTACCTCGCAGCACTTGTTCCATGAAAGATGACTGGTTAGATATGTGAGCGAATATAATTCTTTATGGGAAGATATTGTTACTGGTATTACATAATTTGTGGATGTAGTCCAGGGTGGCTATGTGGTTACAGATCACTCACAACTGCCATCTCACCTTTGTCTGCGTGTTGTAGAAGCTAGGAATTGACTAATGTGGTTATGTGAGAAAGCATGACAGCAGCTTTTCTTGGGTCGGTGCTTCTTCGCTGTGTTTCCCCATATTCGTCCTACACCAGTTATATTGCCCGTAATTTTTTTGTGCTATAACCATAATAGCTTAGGAGCGCAATACAGTATGTTTTTAAGAATAGAGTACAGTTCTGCTTTCTAAAAATGGGTCAGTAAGAAATGTTTGTTTGCTTTCGACCAAATACAAGGTCGGTTGATGTACAATTCAGTTAGAAAAGATGTGATTGATGTCACAACAGAAAAACGAAATAAATGAAATGTTATTTATTATAAATGCATCTTTCGGTTTTCAGTATGGCCAGTGTTAGTTATGCCAGTACCAGAACGACTCTTAGCGACAATACCCCCGATTGCCGCAAAGCATAAAAAACTTAAATACATTGATAGTGACAGTAATGTCCAGTTTTTAATGTCTTTAAAAATAGCGAACGTTTTGACAAAGGTGCACATGAATTCGGTGCCAGATCTGAAAATTCACTTTTCGAGACTCTTAACGTTGGGCCGCTTAAAAGTAAAAAGTTTGATAAACTTAATGATGGAAACACCTCACAAGTTCCTGGGACGCTGATTACTTCGTTGACCGATAGTTTTTTCATAGTCATAGACACCCTCATCACAAAGAAATTTAAAAAATTAAGCACAACCATGGATCATTTTATTAAAAGCACGCTTGGTCGACAGCTAAAGCGATGTCAAAAATCAAAGGGTGACGTCATTTTCTCAAATGACCAAGTAAGTTGACATGAGATAAACATAGTTTAATTCTTCCCCAACTCAAAGTAATGAGATTATTATGGCCCATCTACTTCCTTTCTACATCATACAATTTGAGTACATTATACAATTTGAGTACATCATACAATTTGAGTACATCATACAATTTGAGTACAGTGCAATGACCAATTATTGGAACAAACTTGAGAATGAGATGCGCTTGCCGCATACTTAAGGAAGGATGCATTCTAAGTCTTTGCCTGATCTTCAAGTCCAATTCATTCCAGTTAAGTTGCTGAAGTTAAAAGCTTTCTTGGAAACTCGCTTCGCGCCTTGCAATCAAGATCAATTCTACAAGGCGCAGCGTCGGAGCGTTTCAGAAGAATAAATGAAATGCTTTCCTAATTAGGGCAAACGGTGCAAAGATTTCTTTTGCTGGCATATCCTGGTAGCCCATCTGGTATTCGCGATCGACTTGCTAAAGACTATTTCCTGGAAGCCATTCAGGAGAAAGACCTGAGATTTGAGATCTGGCCTTAGCAGCTTGCATGAAGCGATCAGAATCGGGATCGAATGGATGTCTTTGTTGCATGCTGAAGTAAGGCAAAAGCCTGCAAGCTATGCTTTTGAGAGCCATGACGAATCCAAAAGCATTTGTGAAGAATACAATGTATTTGAGCAACTCGAAGCAAAGGTTGAGCCATTGATGGAACAAACCAAGAAATTGCGTGAAGAACACAAAGAAAGAGAAGACAGGTGGTACCAACAACAATACAAGCAGTATGATACGAAGCAAACAGAGGTCTAATTTTCGAATTGCAATGATTTGGACCAATACCAATATAAATTATATGAAAGGCGACAAACGACGGCGTGTTTGCACTGTAGCTTGCATTAGACCTAATGGAATCCTAATAGAATTTTTGGTTAGATTTGGGAGTGAAGTTATCATTCGAAGATGGGTGACAAATGTAGGCTGCAAGAGACTGTTTGCAGAGTCTAATTTTTCGTCATGAGACAATAATTCTTGGAAACATGGAAAGATGCCAATACGGTTATTATATTTCACAAAAGACGTAGTTAATATGTAAGCTGGTTTTTGTGCACTCCAATCAGTGCGGCACCATCGACACAAAATGTCGAATGTTCCACTCATGTTCCGTACCAGAACGACTCTTAGCGAATCATCCTTCACATTGGTGGGAATTATTCTAGAAATTAAGTAGCTGTTTGACACAAGAACAAGCAGTTGCCTTCAGCACCCAGTTGAAAGATGTGATGTGTAATGTGATTATGTTTTTAACGTAGCTTTAATACGTTGTCAGTCATATCGCTACGATGTATGCAGTATGGCAGTTTATAGTGATGTCTAGCTCTGGAGCATCATGCTACAGACATGTATCATGATGTCCCACCCAGTCACATGATCCTGACACCAGGCCGACCAGTCCTAATACTATCCTCTTAATACTGAGCATCAAGCGAGGCAGCTGTTAGTACCATTTTTGTAAGTCCTTGTTTTGACTCGTCTGAGGATCGAACCCACGATCTACCGCATCCGAGGCGGACGCTCTAACCTCTAGGCCACCAGAGCGGTTCCAGTTGAAAGAAGTTTCCATTGTATTTGCTAAAGATAACGATTACTGGGGTAGAACAAATTTCTTTAAACACCCAGTCAATGCATAGAATTCCTCAGCGATCTGAGTCCCACCAATAAGACTGCAGTTCCATCTCGGGTAGTAGCACGCCATCAATGATATGTTGAAGAATATATTCATAGAACCGTGAATACGCCTCTGGGCTGCACAGGTTGTATTAGCTAACAAAACATATCTGAAAATGATTGTGTGGACTACAGAGCTCTGAATGCGGTTACCGAGAAAGATGCGTATACTCTTTCTAGAATCGATGATAGTTTTGATTCACTACCGGGCATAATTTTAGATATGATATCGGGGTATTGGCAAGTGAATATTGAATAGACTGACCGACCTAAGACGACGTTTCAAACACAAAGTATGTACCAGTTCAAAGTGATGATCCTTTTGTTTGTGCAACTTGTCTGGGTCATTTGAGCGTCTGATGAAAGCAACCATAGTGAAGTTGCATTACGAATGTTGTTTGATGTTTCTGGATGAGATGTTAGTGTTCTAAAGTATGGCAACTATGAGGAAGTACAACATTAGTTCAAACCTTTGCATGGTTGTTAAGCACCTCTATGACAAAGCTACCAGTGCTATCATCAACAATGGCGGCAGAGGAGATTGGTTTTGACCAAAAGTTGGAGTCACACAGGGATGTATACTGTCACCTTACACTATTCAACATTTTCCTGGAAAGAATCGTGGAGAATGCATTGCATGACCACAAAGGGCGCTGTCAGGATCGGAGGAAAAACAATTACAAACCTTCGCTTCGCAGATGATATTGATGGCAAAGCAGGAGATGAAAAAGAACTGACTGACTTGGTTGAGTGCCTCGACACAACCTCCACAGCATACAGTATGGAGATTACGGCCGAAAAAAAACTGATGACAAACAACACCAATGGCATCGGTGCAGAAATAAAAATCAGTGGACAGAAGCTGGAAAGAGTCACAAGCTTCAAGCACTTGGGATCAGTCATCACAGATGAGGGCTCCGAACCAGAACTACTTTGCAGGATTACTTAGGCAACAGCAGTAATAACAATGTTGAGCCCCATATGGAAAGATACCAACATTGCTTTTGGTTCCAAAATAAGGATAATGCGCTCAATTGTCATATCCATCTTTCGGTATGCTTGTGAAACATGAACGCTCAAATCAGATCTACAGAGGATTCAAACTTTCGAAAATAAAATGATCATGGCCATATCATACATGGACCATGCAACCAACGAAGAAGTCAACAGCATAATCCAACGAGACATCGGATCCTATGAAGACCACTTGACCACTGTAAAAAGCGCAAACTGAAGTGGTATGATTAAGTCTCAATATCCTCTCGACTGGCGAAACAATCTTGCAAGGCACAGTGCCTGGGTGCAGAAGAAGAGGCAGACAGAAAAAGAAGTGGAAAGACAGCATTAAGGAGTCAACAGGCATGGAATTTGAAGATTTCAAATGGGCAGTAGAAAACAGGGAAATACGGAGAGAATTAGTTGTATAGTCAACTGTGGTTCCCCAACGACCTCTTTGGTTAAGGGATTGATTATGATGTAATGCGCTGGCCTTAAAAATTCGTTTCTGTACCTCACTTTAATTGTCCAATCACACTATACATAGACGCACTGGAGAAGCATTAAGATCGTTTTGGTCTTGAAAATGTGTCTCAGTTTTTGATACAATGGATCAGTTATTTGACACTATTTATTCCTAGCTGAAGCAACAGTCTTTTCAGATCAGACAAATAATTGTGTTCAGTTCAGTTGAAAGCATTTTTTAAATTTATTTCAACTATTCATTGGAATTATCAAGTATTCACATATTTAGATTTAGCAGCTGTTTTTTGAATTACTGTGAATTAAATTTAAATACATTTTGGATTATATCATTGCGATACATGAAGATTATAGACACATCAGCAGAATACCTCTGGACTTGGTGTAGAACTTTTAGGACAGTTTAGGATTTAATTCATCGTACTTTAAGTTATTTTTACTTTTTCACTTTTCTATTTTAGGGAAATTAAATTTTTGTTACTTAGTTTAAGGCCACACAATCGTAACAAAATATTGATCCTACTTTAAGTAACGTTAAACATTTTGTCACAGAACATACTCAGAACATAATCATCTGCATAAATATGAAAGGCATTAAAGCTAAGCCAGTCTCTGCAGGGTTTGATCCAAAGCTGTTCGGCGGATTTAAGAAAAATTTATAGACGGTGTTTCTTTGTGTTGTTGCAGCAGCGATATTCAATGGCATATTTGCTTTATTTGTACCAACATTAAAAAAAAAAAAAACTTCATGCAAAAAAAACTTTTGTTATATTTGGTCAAAATCTTATTAGTGTTTTGTTCAGAGGAAATTTTCTAAAATAATTCTAATTTTTATATTTAGTAACTGCAGCAATATCTTAGGGAAAATCGGCATCATTGGCACAATGTGAAAACCTTTCTAACAGAATGCATGTTGTCAAATTTGGTCTCTTTATGATGAGTTATATCAAAAAATTCATGTAATTCTCCTTTCTAGCTTTAGTAACTACAGTCAAATTCAATGGTGCATTGGCGGAATTTGTATTGCTTTGCCACATTCTGAATTCTGAAAACAGGTTTTCCATAAGTCGTTTGAATATTGTTTTCTGAGTAACAGTGGTCATATACACCTTCATATCAGAATGTTTTATGATTGGTTCCTTAGACATAGACAAAAAGTTCAAAATTACAACTAATGATAGACATTCGATGCTATACAAACGTTGATAATAATAATAATAATAATAATAATAATAATAATAATAATAATAATAATAATAATAATAATAATAATAATAATAAAGTTTATAATTGGACCATTTTTCTCGTTTTCAACATTATGAATGCTTTAAAAGTCTTATTTATTTTACTGGACATCACTTTCTTGCCCTTGAATAGACGTGTACCTTTGAGATTATCAGATCCATTCTCATCTAGGAAAAACTTTATAAACTTTTAGTCGGTTTATTTATTGTAGCCCCCCCCTTCCAGCTTCTGACATACTGTAAGTTTCACAACCATGTGTCCTAATGCGATGCCATATGCATTAAGTTAATAGTCTAATACGGTGTCCCTCATGTTTGTTCAAATATGACGTTATCATTAAGTTTCTTCCCCTTCTAACCCTGTTTTATGAAGAAAAAAAAACCGCCACTATTTTACGTATTTCCCAACAGAAACTTTCGTAACAATATTTCCTCTGAAAAGATAGCGGCGAAAATGTGAAAGCTCTATTTGCTGTGTTAGCAGTCATAAAAATTTCGCTAAAAAATTATATTGAAGTTGTTTGGTGTAACTTTAGTATGTTTTGAAACGATCCATTTCCAAAATACATGTGTTTATATGGACATCGTGTTTCGATCTTTCTATCTTTCTGTCAAAAAGAGGGATTTTTTCAAACTGTGGTTTTGTGTGCCTTGATTTTGAATTGATTTATTTTCTTCAATAACTAGTTCCGTGATGCCATTCCACAATATGACCTCAGTAAGATAACTCTCTGGACAGAAGAGATCTATATTTGATTGACCGTAGTGCACATATCTAATTTTTACACAAAGCCATTCTATTCCTCTTATCTAGTGTGTTCTATTCTTTTTGTGTAGTTTGTTCTATTCCTCTTATCTAGTGTGTTCTTTTCCTTTGTCGAGTGTGTTTTATTCACTGCTTGAGATTTTGAGTATACTCCCAACTTATTACAACCCACACCATCAGACCAGATGGATTCATGAATATTCATCAAGCGGGTCTCTCTCGGGGCTCGTAGCAAGCTTATTTGCGCCGAAAAATGTGATATTTGGGAAGATTGAGATATGAGCTGTCAACTCTCAGGAGATGATATCTATTAGGGTTCTATATCTTTTACAAATTTTACTCTTATTAAAAGTGACAGAAAGCCCTGATGGTGTCGCTGGAGGCTTGAATGCACTCGCCTAAGCATGGATGGATTTGATGCTTTCCTGAATTAAATTCTCCTCTGTCGCAAACTCAGGCGATGTGCGTGTCATTGATAAATTCTTTTGCACCAGACAATTGAGTTACACTTGTATATCTGCCATGAATGTTGGTTCTCATGCATTTGTTAGACCGTATCTGGCATAACTTTTCACCACTCCTTACAGGAAATTGGCAGACTAATTTTGGGACAAACTCAATTCCTCAACTTGGGCCCATCTGACATCTCAATCTTTGAGAAAACTGTCGGATTGCCAAACGCATCATCAGCCAGGAGTGTAATGCTTATCGACCAGTCCGGTTCGGGGAAGATGAAGCGCTTTGCAGTAACATCTTCTGTAGATAAATAACTTTGAAGAATCCAATTTAATCCACTCTCAGCCTAATTGTATGGGGTGATCGGAAGAAACTCCAAACAAGCATCATGATCAATAAATGATTTGTCAGTGGAAGTGAACTGATGCGCCTAATAGGAGTAAATAGAACATTTGTTAATAGGCACGCGGCTACACAAACGGTTGATTTAATGATTGATACTTGCCGAGGAAATCGTCCAGGCTCAATCATGACAAAATGGAAAAGTAGTTTCTGTGGAAGATTAGGAACGACAAATCTGTTTCATGGGAATGAGACAAACAATAACTCATATTAGTTCCACTGTAATAGAAGCAATAAAAGGTACTATTATGATTGGAGTGCGGCAACTCTTGCAAAGTAATAAGACTGAGTGGTAGTTATGTAACATTGTATTATTGATCCCGATATTGAGGAAACGAAATGATACAGTTAAGCAAGTGTGTAAGTAGGTGGATATGTAGCTGGTTAGGATGTTCTGTGGGTACAGAGCGAAAGAGAACATAACTTTTTTTTATATGACGTATACAAAAACACATTGTCAATAGAAAAAATAGTACATATACAACACTTTGTTGCCAAAAATGAATGAGTAATGGCGATACAAA